GTAGAAGTAGGATGAGCAGGCGTTGCTGCAGCAGCAGCAAGGAGTAGTAGTAGTAGTAGTAGTAGTAGTAGTAGTAGTAGTAGTAGTAGTAGTAGTAGTAGTAGTAGTAGTAGGAGTAGGAGTAGGAGTAGGAGTAGGAGTAGGAGTAGGGGTGGGAGTAGGAGTAGGAGTAGGAGTAGTAGTAGTAGTAGTAGTAGTAGTAGTAGTAGTAGTAGAAGTAGTAGTAGTAGTAGTAGCAGAAGAAGAAGTAATCGTAGTAGTAGTCGTAGTAGCCGTGGTAGTAGTAGTAGTAGTAGTAGAAGTAGTAGTAGTAGTAGTAGTAGTAGTAGTAGTAGGAGTGGTAGTAGTCGTGGTAGTAGTAGTAGTAGTAGCAGTAGTAGAAGACAGCTATCACGAACGGCCTGCCCAGCTCTTGCGAAAAGGAACCGTTCTCGGTCGCAAAACGTCGGTGAATCCAAAGCTGACTGGCGGCAGCGCCCAGAGAAACAGACATTGGGTTCAGGGTTTGGGGCCTAGGGTTGGGCTCAAGTCTGGCAGTCTTCATCATCTCCATCGATCGAGGTTTCTACGATGGTCGTCGATATGATCATCAGTGCTCTTCTTCAGTCTTGATGCTCCTGAAATTTGCCGCCAGCTAGCCTGCCCGATGGTCAAACAAGCAAGCTGCAGGAGAACTCGGAAAACGTGCGCGGCAGCAAGGTTCGGGTCTTGGGATGTGGGGCAACGGGGCTTTGCTCTAACTATGTCAGCTGCGAGTTTCGGGGTTTTGAACCCAAAAGAAGTCTCTGCCTCGGACAAACTGCGTTGTGAGGCTACTATATTATTATTGTCATATTCTTTTATATTGCTAAATTGTATCACATGATGTTAGTTATATGCTTCTTCTCGATGGGTCTTATCGGCAACGCTCTGCAGATGCCGACATGGCTCAGGCCCCAGCTCTTCAAGATCACTACTTGAAGGGGCAGGGGACTTAGTAAGTAGGTCATAAGTAGGGTTTTGTCTTGGGGTAACTCCATTCAGGGTACTTATAACTCTACTATACTCTACTTATAAGCTACTCACTAAGTCCCCTGCCCCTCCAAGTATGCTTTCGACTCACCAAATCCCCAACGTTGGACCCGAAGGAACTCTTGTTGATGCTCGGCGTAGAGAAGATATGAAGGAATGGCAAATGCAATAGTAATCATCATAATACCAATGACAAAAACAATAACAATAAGACTACTAACTTAATCATGAATACTAACATAGGAATTAATTTTCGTCATCATCATCACCATTGAGATCATAATCATAATACTGACCTTAGTAGGAGTTCCAGCTCCACGCGTTTAGAGTTTAGGGGTTCAGAGTTCGTAGGGGTTTAGGGTTTAAGCATTTCGAGGTATCTGGGTCTGGGGGCTCAGGGTTCAAGAGTTTACCGCTCGGGCTCGAGGGCTGCGGGTATTCCGGAGAAGGTTCGCATGGGCGGGAGCTGAAGCGCATTGGCACTCGAATTATCTTTATACGCCAAATGTTGCACGAATTGCCGCCTCTCTCGGCGGCATCTTGGAATGTGCACTGCGTGCTTTGGGGGCCGAAATGCCGGCACAGATTCTCGTCCCATGGCGCAGCCTTCCTGCTATCAACATTATCACGACGAACTAGCAGTGGCCATCAGAGTAGAAGAGCTCAATATCGGGGCCTTAAGAATTTAAACAGTATCTGCTAGGGCTCCTTACTATACGGGCCCCTATATTTAGAGATGGCAGGCCCGTGACAGTCCCTCCTGCATATATAACAGCCTTTCTCTCGTATATCCTTGTTGCTCTCTGAAAGTTGGAAGACAAGTCCTATGCTTTCGGCTTCGGGGCTTCGGGTTTTACCGTTTAGGGCTTGGTAGTCTGGCTTTAGCTTCTTGGGGCTCAAGGCTTTTATGGCTTAGGGTTTCGGTGTTAAGGGTTTAGGGTTGAGGGCCTTAGCGTTCGGGGTTTGAGGGTTTCTGCTCTTGGGGGGAGCTTCAGCGGCGTTTAGGTGCACCTATCGCTTCATGGCGTAGAGTCGGCTCTTCAGCTTCACAGCAAGAAACCCTGAAACCCTAAGCCCTAGCAACTGCCCACATTTTGGGTGAGGGATCGGTGCAGAATGCTCCTTGCACGTGCTTGATTCTGTGAAGCCTTGAACCTCAAGCTAAGACAGAATGGCCCCTAGCTGACAAGGTTCTCATTACTGCGTACTGACTTCGAAAGGACGAGTCCGCCACCTCGCCTCCCATTGCTGTCGCTTGAAAAAGTTCTGCTGCGATCTCCCAAAGCATGGATCCTTGGACACACGCGGAGGTTCCCATTCCTGAAACCCTAAATCCTCCTTTCCGAAACCGGCTCTCCGTGTGACTCGCGTCGGGATCCCCGATGCACGGCGGCGGAAGCACCTGGCACGGATGAGGGTTTTTGAGTGGCTTGTGACAAGTTGAGCCGGTTTCAGCCCGGGCCGCACCACGAGCAACTGCATAAACTCCTCGTAACTCCTCAACCCTAAACCCCATCTCTTCCCGATGTGTGGCCTGCTGCTTCACCCCTCAATGAAGGCCACCGAGATCACAGCGCCATCGTGCCCTGCAACAGAGCGTCTTCGGGTGTAGGGCCTGGGGCTTAGGTGACCTGGGGGTTCGGATTCCCCTGTCGGCTTTGCTCCTGAAGCATAGACTAAACCCTAAACCCCTAAACCCTAAACCCATAGAGTTCAGGATGTTGTCTTTAAAGGTTTTGGTTTCAGGGTTTTGACGGCGTGAGGGGGCCTTCAGCCGGGCCAAAGGCCTCAAACCCCTTTCCTTGGTCTGGATTCTGCCTCAATAGGTTTAGGGAATTAGGGTTTTGGTTTTTGTTTTAAGGGGCCAGGATTTTAGGGTTTGGGGTTTTACGGGGGGTTGTGGCCACAAACATTCCGAAACTTCTCAGCCCGAACGAAACAGACCTGAGAGTTGCTCTCTATCTTACCGATAGTGAACGCTACCGAGGGAAAGGGTTTATCCAAAGCTCAGCCAGGCAATCAACCCAGGCAAGCCCAACTCGGCAGCAAAGAGCCCCCAACAAAAAAACTCTTACACTGGGATTTCAGCCCCGCGGATGTCGACGCCACCAAGTTCGAGACAAGGCAGGCAGGCGAAAACTCAGAGTGGGTGAGGGGTTACATAAGGATTTGTGAAAGGGATGGTTCGAAACGCCAAACCCTACATGGAGGCTTCAGAGTGCGATATGAAGGCCGAGCAGGAGCGTTTTTGAGCCTACAAACCGAGAGGGTTTAGGGGTCCAGGGTTTAGGGCTTCATGTTTCGGGTTTGGGGGTCCAGGTGTGTACAGGGTTCAAGGGCTTCGGGCTTGGGGTTTAGGGTTTCGTGCTTAGGGTTCGGTTCAGGGGCTTTGGGTTTAGGGTTTAAGGTCTAAGGTTTCATTTTTTGTTTTAAGGTTTAGTGCTTTTTTTTAAGGTTTAGTGTTCTTTTCCTTTTTTAAGGTTTAGTGTTCAGGGATTGGAAATACTGTCTCTAAGGACCAGAGTGGGGCCCAGAGTGGAGGGCCATGGCCCCTGGAAACCCCCTCGTTCCCTGGCAGTTCCGGCTTAGGGCTAGGAGCTTCGATAAGGATTCGCGACCCTGAACTTCGAAGAGGTGCGATAGGGCTAAGAGGCGTTGAGTTTAGGAAACTTGGGGTTGCGGGGCCCAGGGTTTGCGGCTTCATGGGTAGTTAGAAGTAGGTACAGCTACAGGTACAGCCTGTACCAGGGGGCTTATAACCACAGTTACAACTACCCATATGAACCTCCAGGTAGGGTTTCTGTAGGGGTTTTTGGAAAGTTTAGGAGAGCTTAGCATCGGAGCACCTCGCCTTCCAAAATCTTCAGACACTTGCCCGTCACGCTCCAAAGCCGCACGGTGCCGTCGTAGGATGCAGAACCGATGATGGTGCCTGCCATGTTCATGGGTGGTTGTCAAAATTATGGTCCCTTTTGGGGCACCCTAAATAATAGGTGCCGTATTAAATGGAGGACCCAATAAGGGACCATAATTTTGACAACCACCCTCATGGCTTCGGGGGGTCTGCAAGGATGCTATACGGGCTACTCTAAGGGCTTCGGTAAGGGCCTAGGGTTTGTAGTACTACAGCGGGTTTGGGGTTTAGGAAGGGCTTTGGGAAGTGATTTGGGCTTTAGGAGCTGATGGCTCGCAGAAGCTCTTGGGGTCTCAAGGCATCGAGGACTCAAGCTTCAAACATATTCGTCTTCAATGGTTAGAATAGGGCTTTGGGTACATTATTATAACAGATATAATAAGGAACCCTGAGGAATAGCGGTACTTAACTAAAAAACCTTCTATACTAATCCAAGCTTGGTCTGTTGGTTGTGCTGTGGTTGTGTGCAAAGCCGTAGTACATACATGTTCCTAAGCACCCCAAAGCGAACGCGAATTTCTAAATCAAGCCTGGACCCTATTCAAAGCTCTTAACCCTAAACCCTAAACCCACAAAAGCCCCAAACTCTCAAATTCGAAATAACCCCAAACCCAAATGCACCCCTGTCCCAGTCTACACTCAGGTCGGTGCCATCTGGCGAGAAAGCTGCAGATCGGACCTTAGAGAGTCCGACTGCCATATGGGAGTTTCCGAAAAATTCGGGTTACCTTCTTTTGAGCCCTTGTAATAAGGAACCTACTGCTAGTGACCCCTATTGTCGGAAACTCCTGAGGTTCAGGGCCTTGCAAGGTCAGTAGCAAAAGAGCCAAGCACTGATCAGAGCTCCTGCGCACCTGACTCCGGCGTTCACAGAAGGGAATGGGGGGGAATGGATTTGGAGCCCACGATACTTTCATCATGATAAGGAACCCCCTGTACAGTATGGGTAATTACTTAGGCCCCTATGTTATAGCACTCTTGTAGATCTTTTAGAGTAACCCTTATAGACCCCTTTGAAGGAACCCTACTCTAAGTAATTATGAAGGCCCCCAAAAGTAACGGTCCTTTTTGCCACTCAGCCGATGATGGGGTCCGGCCAGTTCTCAGTTGTGTATCCCAGGAGCGCTTGCCAGTCCTTCATGACACCCTAAACCCTAAACTTTTCTAAACCCTAAACCATAAATTCTAAACCCTAAACTCTACACCCCAAACCCTTGTTCCCTTTAAGGTCTCGCTTCCTGGCGCTTTAAAAACAGAGGAAGCCGGTCCTTGAGCTGCTGCACCAGGCGAGGGTCCAGCCGCATCATGGCTTCTTGGCCGGCCTCGAGGCTTAGGGTTTAGGGTTCTACTTGGAGGGGCAGGGGACTTAGTAAGTAGGTTATAAGTAGGGTTGGAATTGGGGGTAACTCCATTTAGGGTACTTTTAGCTCTACTGATAACCATACTTACTAAGTCCCGGGTGCACTTCCAAGTACGACATTAGATTATGTGTTCTTCTATTCTGCTTTGTTTTACTCTATTGATCTATTGCGTTGTTAGTATTACTTTGTATCATAATGTACTACAATCTATTATGTTGTACTTTATTGCATTCTGTTATATTATCTTCTGTTATATAGTATGACATTGCACCCTATCGTATTTTATTATATCGGTGGGTCCGAGTGCTTGGCTTGGGCTTTCAGGCTCTCGGCCGAGCAATGAACCGAAGTGGCCCTGAGGCACTCGTCGTCGTTGCCGTGGCCATCGTCTGCAATCGCATTGGTGAAGTTGGGGTCTACGTTCAGGTCCTCCACCTGTGCCAGGCTTGTGTAGACTGTTCGACTCCTTGGACTCTTAGTTGGGGCCCCAACAAAGCACATAAGCAAACCTTAGGATAGGGAAATCCGATATAAACCACCCTTACAATGAAGCCCAACAAGGCAGGGATATCCCTATAGAATGCTTCTGCTTAAGTCCTTTTTGGTCCTCTATCATTAGTTCCCTCACCCATCCACCCCGTCGCCCGGACAGGAAGACCCCAACCGCTGCAACGACTACTCTCCTCCTCCTTTTCGTCCTCCGCCTCTCCCTACCCAGACGAGAAGACCAGGCTTATACCGAGGGTTTAGGGTTTAGGGTCTAGGGCTTAGTCCTTATATGCTAGGTTGCTACCTCTGAACATGAGCAGTATGAATGTGCCGTTGCAGTTGGCTCTGCCTCAGGGGCTGCAAGGCATTCAACCGAGGGCCTTCAATCTGATCCAACCCTGTCCCGCACCCCCCCCTTCCCCCCGCCCCCCGCCAACCTTGGCTGCTTGCCATGCCCTTTGCAGATCTGCTTCTGAGACCATGGGCGCGAAGAGGAAATGGAAGAGGCCCTGGACCACCTCGAGATTCGAAGGCTCTTGGGTCTTGGGAGAAGTACAGAGCTCTAAACCACAAAGATGCCTGAAGCGGCACCCTCAGGCTTCTTTCGAGACTGAGGCTTAGAGCCTGGGGCTTCCAGCGCGAAGGATGCGAAGCAGGTGAAACTTTGTAGAGAGTTTTGGTGTTCGGTACACTGACGACTGTGATGATCATGCTAACGATGAAGGCGATGATTCCGCGATGATGGTGATGATGGCCATGACAGCGACGACGACGATCATGAAGATTGACTACGATGATGCTGGTGATGTTGAGGATGATGATGACGGTGGAGGTTTAGGTGATGCTGAATGTGACGGTGAAGGTGGTGGTGATGGTGATGGTGATGGTGATGGTGATGGTGCTGGTGCTGGTGCCGGCGCTGGTGGACGGCGTCGCCTTCCCATCGAAAGTTCGCTTGACAGCTCTTGAAATAAAATTCTGTGTCCGAAGCTCTTTCGAACTTCCTGAGCTGGGTGCCCCAATTTAAGAGCCTATGATAGGTACTGGTAAGAAGTCGGATTTGCTTCGGGGGTTGGAGCTCCAGGTTCAACAGCCGCGCCACCTTGTCAAAGCCTTCCGATGATGGGGCAATCTCCTGGGCACGGTTTAGGGTTTAGGGCCTCGGGCTGAAAAGGCGGTCCGATAAGTAACATTAACGACGAAAAGAACAGTCGTAGTCGGTATACACGAGGAGCAGAAGCAGGAGAGGGTTGTACTACATAACGATGCTGCAGTTCAAAAAAGGATAACAAAAAGGCAACCACAACCATAACACGGGCAATAGCACCCATGCTGCTCTGAGCTGGGAAGCATTATAATGCATGATATTCGACCAGATTAGTTAAATGCTCTTGTGTCTTAACTTATTTCACGATACGTTATCTTGTATGATCGTGAACTCCACCATGCTTCATTATGTTATATGGGGTTGTAGTAGCTGATACTACACTCTATGGTATGACACTGCATGATATTATGTTGTATGGTGCTACTTTGGATGATGTTAAACCAACTATGTTATGCTCACGTATGTTATATTGCCTTCTCATATATTAGAATGTCTTATGCTACTTTGTGTTATCTGATATTCTCTTACCCTATACTTTAATACTATACCATACTCAAGTGTACTTTCTTCTACTGTACTATACTGTATGACGCTGTATGATACTGCAGTATATGACATTTTACTAAATGCTATTGGATTAGGCTGGGTTACAACATCCCACATAACACTGTACTATCTCCCATTATGCTTTTTAATATCATGAGATTATGTTACATTATGTTATGCCTCCTTGAAGTGCCTGGGATTTGTGCTTAGGCCTAGGCTTTGCCTCCCAGCTTCCGAAAGAAAGAATCAAACCGTGGAATACTGGCCCGTCACAGGGCTTCTGGATGGATTAGGGTTTTGGGATGATCCAAGAGCCTGGTACAACGAGGCCGCAGAGCAATGGAACGTGGAACGACAGGACAAAGCCATGATCAAGCTGCATATAAGATGACCCCTAATGGGAAAGGCTTCACTTCTGACAAACACCCTAGCACCCTAAACTCTCGACCCTTGCACCCTAAACCCCAGACCCTAGCCAGCACCCTAAACCCCAGACCCTGGCACCCTAAACCCCAAAATCCTTAAGAAGTCCGCCTCGAACCTCACGTGGAACATCTCCTCGGCTGTCGTGTCTCTGTAGAGGTTCACCATGTCCTCGGGGTGTAGGGTTTTGGCGTTTTTAGGGTTTAGGGTTTAGGGTTTAAAGTCTGGGGTTCAGGGTTTAGGGTTTAAGGTTTGGGGTTTTGGGTTTAAGGTTTGGGGTTTAGGGTTTTAGGATTTAGGGTTTAGGGGGGCTCTGGGGTTTGTTGCGGTTCAGGGAGACCAAGCCTATCGCCTGGGGCTGGGGGATTTTGCACTGGCCTCAGCATGTGGGTGGTTGTCAAAATTAGGGTCCCTTTTTGGGTCCCTAATATAATACGGCACCTAATATTTAGGATACTCAAAAACGGACCATAATGTTGACAACTACCCATGTCGGCCCTGTGCACAAAGTCTCCCCCGCGAGCTCCGCGCATCATCACATGCTGAGTTCACAGACCCCCATTCCCGTCCAAGGGAAGACAGAAAATCTAGTCGGAGTTGAAAGTCGGGAAGTGGTCTCGATCTCGGGGTTGAGAGAGTACAGAGCCAAGAGACTTGGATGATGAAGCTCATCAGGGGCCAGAGCGCCATCATTCCCTGGCAAGACCGGAGCTTTAGGTTTTGCTCACATCGGAAGTCGGAAGCCCCGAAAGACTGCCAACATGTTGCTGACGATGGTATCAAAAGAGGAACAGGAGGGACCCTTAATAAGGACCCCTAGCCTCTAATGGGCTATATAATGGGCATCTAATAGCTATATTAAGGGTATATACCAAGGGGTCCTTATTGAGGGTCCCTCCTTTTACCCTTGGATGGTAGCATGAAGTGCAGCGACTGGTCAAACAATCCCTTTCTTCACGTTGATGGCCCTTTGCATGTTCGCCTGGCGAGGGCGACGAACAGGAAGATGATCATGAACCCGGAACCCTGAAACCCGAAATCTCACCCATAAAAGAATATGAAAGTCCCGAGCCCCAAAGAAACCCAAAAGACCTAACCCTCCCCCCCCCAAAAAAAAAAACACAAATATATATATATATATATATATATATATATATATACATATATATATATATTTATTTATTTATTTATTTATATTTGTATGTGTATATATATATAAGCACACCAGATCTCAACCCCAAACCCCAGCCCGCACCCAAGCGCCTCCTCGGGCCCCATGGCCATGATCTCGGGCCAGGGCGCTATCGGGCTTCCGAACTCCTCCACTTTAAAAGGAACTCCAGAACGGTTTAGGGTTTAGGGTTTAGGGTTTAGGGTTTAGGGTTTAGGGTTTAGGGTAGTGTATACTAAACCCCAAACCCTGTTCTAATTTTTTTGGCTTGGGGGATCTTCGCCTGGGGGGATTAGAAGGAACTCCAGAAAGTTGGAATATGGATTAATGGTAGGACCCCCTATAGTTTACCTTAAAGGGGTTACGATAATGATATTCCAACTTTCTGGCTTCTACTGTAGGGTTCCTTAAAGGGCTCCTTAAGAGGGGTGTACAAGGATTCTACAAGAGGGGTTTTACGGTTACTTAAAGGATCATGGGACTTGGTAACTGGGGTTGTTGTTAAGGTCACTTTACATATAACTACTTATAATCCCAATTAACTAGGATGCCCAGTAACCTAGGAAGAAAAGTGCTCCCTTTGGGGTATTCGGTACCTCTGTAAGGAACCTAGGACTACAAAAAGGGAATAAGGGTACTACCGGGCATCCCAGTCAAGGTACTTATAACCATACTTTCTACGGTTGATGATATGAATCCTGCATTACCCATAATAAGGAATATACCATAACTCCCATAGTTTAGGGTCCTTAAGGTAATGCAGGATTTATATCATCACGGCGTTGGGGTGCTCGGGCTTCCGGGGGTTTACGGTTTTCGGGTTTAGGGCTGGGACTTCGGGTTTGGGGTTTGGGGTTCAGGGTTTAGGGTTTAGGGTTCGGGGTTTAGGTTTGTGGGTTTAGGTTTGAGACTTGGGGTTTTTGGTTTGGGGTTTTCAGGTTTAGGTTTAGTGGTTTGGGGTTTGCAGACTTGGGGTT